CATCATCTGTCCATCCATCATCCACCCATCCACCATCATCTGTCCATCCATCATCTACCCATCCATCCATCATCTGTCCATCCATCATCCATCCATCCATCCATCCATCCATCCATCCATCCATCCATCCATCCATCCATCCATCCTTTTATCATCCACTTATCCCACAGATATGAAGAACCTACTATTTTAGCACATGTTCTGGGTTTTGGGGACACACAATATCTAGATAAAACCTTGGTACCCCAACTTGGACACCTCATGCTCATCTTATTCTTCAGACCTGGTCATGTGCTCAGTGTTCTGGATACTCTGGATGCAGGTGAAGGAATCATACCTGTCCTTTTATACAGCAGAAATCTGAAAGTCATAGACCCTTTTCTGTCACTTCCCTTCTGATGATACCCAAGTGCACTGCAAAGGCCTGTCAACTGATCACTTAAATGTCCCTGGAATATTCTTTCTCCGCCCCCACTCCTGCCCTCGTGTGAGCCACCCCTCTCTCTGACAGCTTCCTAATAGCTTCCCTGGTACTGCTCCACAGTGGCCACCTCCCCAAATTTTCCACTCATTTCTAAGATAGTTGCCTCCAAATGCAAATCTCTTCCAACAGTTCCTTACTTCAAGCCTTTCCTGGGCCTCTTGCTGCTCCTAGTACAAGTCAGCGCTTTTACCAGGGCCTCGCAACTCCTGCAGACTTTCCTGACCAGCTCTGCCCCATCCTATGCTCTCATTTCTCTTGGCTGCTTTTGTTCTTCATGCTCCCCACCACTCCGTGGCTCCATTTGCCCCAAATATTCTCCCTTCCCCTCTTTGGTAAACAACTCCTATGCATCCTGCAGTACCCTGCCCTCCGTGACCAGATCAGAGTCCTTCTGATGTGCATGTCTCTTGCTGCATTTGTCACCATGAAAGTTTTCCACGTGATTTTTCTGTGAAGGCCCACCCTACGTCTCATCTTAGGGTCACTGAAAACATAAGATTTATGGGGGCAGGAATAGTGCCCCAATATTTTATAATGAAAAATTCAAATATGAAGCTGGAAGAATTTTAGTGCTAACATCCGTATACCTGAGACTGAGACACCACCTATTTCAGACTCCTTTCTGGCCTGTCCATCATTGAGCCTGGCAGCTAGCAGGCCTGAACTGAATCTGTTGGTCACAGTGGTCCATGTCCTTCCTCCTCAGGGAGAATGAAGATGTGGTGGATATAAGCAAGGATGTTCCCTAGCACTTTCTGCACGTGTGAAAGCTGGAAACAACCTGAATGCCCCCAAGAAGGGACTGGCTTCGTGCTTCCTTGTAGTTCCCAGGATGATGCTGATCTGTGTGGATGGACATGGGTGTTTCTGACCTGGCAGGGGGAAAGTACCAAAGAAATTTGGCTATGCCACTGGTGCCCTTGTTTGGTAAACTGCAAATCAATACACATATGGGTAGTGCCTACTCTATGCAATACTGTTGCAAGCGCTCAATCTGGAACAATCCAGTTTAATCCTCACAGCAGCCCTAGGGACGGGCCCTCCTTATTATCCTCATTGAACAGGGGACAAACTGAGGCACAGTGAGGGTAAGTGACTCCCCTCAAACCACACAGCCATTTCCGTGAGCAAACGCCTTGGAGGGGACACAGAACATGGACCAGCATTGACAACAGCCGCTACGTGGCGGATGTGGAAGCGCGGATTTTTTCTGCCGATGGGAATACAAAATGGCGGCCCACTCAGGAGGGCGTTTGGCGGTTTCTCCCAAGGCGAAGCACGCGCTGTCACACCATCCACCAGTCATCACACTCCGTGGTATTTACCCAGCGGAGCTGAAGACTTGCCCACGAAAACGCCTGTCAAATGTTCTGGGGCGGCTTCATTCATGACTGCCCAAAGCTGGGCGCCGTCAAGATGTCCTCTCGCAGGTGGAGGATAAAGCAGCAAGGGGTGAAGACACGGAGCTGTTCTTCAGTGCACTACAAAGCCATGAAAGGACATGGAGGAAGGAGAAATGCCTATTTCTAACTAAAAAAAAAAATTCTTCAAAGTGGTGTAACCCCAACTCTACCATTCTGGAAAAAAACAACTATGGAGGCTGAAAAAAAGTCACCGGCTGTGGAGTTTGGGGGGAGGGTGGAGGTGGCAGAAAGGGGTGACAAGGTGGAGCACAGGGGTGTTGAGGGCAGAGCCACACCCTGGGTGACGCTCTGAGAGTGGATGCATTTGGCCAGGCTGGGGAGTCATCACCACCAGGGGGTGGGGATAATGGCGGGTCTGTGCAGATTCCTGGGGGTAACCAGCTGCCTTCCTGTGGACTTGCTAATATGGCAGGCTGTGCACGTGTAGAGCCAGGGTGTCCAGGAATCGGCACCTTCCTCTCAGTGCTGCTGTGAACCTAAAATTGCTCTTAAAGAAAAACGTCTGTTAACACAGAGTGGTCGTTAACTCTGCCAGATCGGATTTCGCACCAGGCTGGTGTTTCTCTCCCTTGCTCTCAGTCATGCTTCATTTCCCCGAGTCATCACACCTCACCAGTGAGTCTCTCTGTGTGTGTATGTGTGTGTCTCTCAAGAAAAATTGCTTCTCGAGTGGGGAGGCTGAGTCCATCAGCGGAAGGGAGCACTTGGCCGTGGACCATGCTCGAATCATGCAACTAACAGAAAAAAGCCCCAGTGACCTTTGTCCGAGCTGGATAACTGGATCCCCAGGTCCTGGAGGAGACGTTCAGTGTCCTCCAGCCAGGACAGAGCCCCGCGCACGATGTCCAGTGCTACCTTCTGGAGCCCGGACACTGGTGGGCTGGTCTGCAGGAACTGGAGAAGGTCCACCTCCTTCTTTAAGTCCCTGCTGCACCCAGCCATCCTCATGCAAACCTGGAGGAGGGAGGCGAGATCATGAGGTGACCAGACGCATCACCAGGAGAAGCCCTGACTTGCCAAGAGTCTCACAGCTTTGAGGCAGGCAGGGACCAGGTTATTCTTTTGGGGGGCAGTGTATACGGATGGTTTTTGCACTCTGACCTGGAGTGTTGATGGTCAGAGACCTTAGTTCTAGGGACGCGAGCTTCATTCCAAAGGCAAACTGCCAAGGCTGTTTTGACTGAAGCAAGAACCAGAGGTGGCTGCTTCTGCTCACCCTGATTCCTGCTGAGACCGGCACTCAGGCTGGTCGGAAAGCCGGGTTCCTATTCGAGGAGGGCTGACAAGTCTGTGTTTGCTCAGACTCCCCAAATAGCAGCTGCTGATTTCCAGAGAAAGCAGAAGCAGCTGTCTGCTTGGCTAAACTGTGTCCCTGTGGGGTTCTCAGTGGATTTGTGGGGGCGACCAGACCCTCTGTCCTCGGCTCCTTCAGGGACTAAGCCACAGTGATGGAAACAGCCTTTGCATGGTTGGGCTACAGGAGAAAGCGTGACTCCAGAGCACGAATGGTCTTTGGTTTTTCTGTAGATAACACAGGGCTGTTTTCTTGGCCGGGGTGGGGGCTTCCGATGTCAGCACCTGAGCTGGGGGCGCCGTCCCAGACCCACCACCCCTCCCCCTGACTCCATCTCCCTCTTTGTTTTCTCCAGCAAGACCAGGCAGGCAGAAAGCTGAGTGCTTCTGCCCAACCTGCGCCCTGGAAGCCGAACCGCTTCCCACCTGGGGGTCCCCAACTGGAGACCCCGGGGACACCGTGAAGGCAGAGGGGGGCACCTGGCAGCTGTCCAAGGACGACTTGAGCCTCTCCACGTTCTCGGTGAGCTCCTCCTGCTTGGAGTTGCTGAGCTGCGTCTCCTTCTGCAAGCTCCACTTGCGCTGCTGGAAGTTCATGTTGTCCTCCGTCACCTGCATGATCTTTTCGATTAGCTGGTGAGGAAAAGGGTGAGGTGTTTAAGGGGCCGGTGGCTCAGGGTGGATCTGGGCGGCAGCTTTTCGGGGGATGGCCTGTCCCCCTGACACTTCTGGGGACCAGAGGTCCTTAGAACGGGAGCCCTGTGTGGGTGCCACGAGTTTGTTACCGATTCTCCTGTCTCGTGGTGGTGACTCATATCATGGAGCCTCACACTATGACCCCACGAAGAGAAGGCCCCCCCTTCTCCACTAGCCAATGGCAGGTGCTCGTGTGTGCTTCACCCGCGCTTTGACACGGAGGGTGCGAGAGAATGTCGGGGAGGACAAGCCAGTCGTGACAGCCAGGCCACCAACCCCTTCATCTTCCCTCTTCAGGAGGAATGAGCCAAGCCATGGGGTTGGGGGCCAGGTCTCCCTCTTTTCCTGCAGCGCTAACAGGGGTTAAACGTTGTGTCTGGGGACCAGAGATAGGCCTGAGGGGTTTCATTTGATGTCCACAGAAACATTTCAAGGGAGTTTAACTGGCTTTTACTTTAAAAGCCAGGAAATCCCATCAAATCAAAACATCCTTACGGTGTAGCAACAGTGTGAAAAATAAGTGTCTCTAACCACAACAGATGCTCTTAACAGAAGCAGATGCTCTTAAGGTCTGGGACCCCAGGTCCCCGAAGACGAGAGGGGGAGCCCACCCACCTGCTGGTCGGTGATGGGCTTGTCCTGGGACGGAGGCTTCATGCGTCCGTAGGTGGCCTTGATGACCTGGCTCCTGAAGTGTTCCAGCTGTGGCACAAAGGGGGAAACTGAGTCAGGGGACAGCTGGGGCACAGCCTGGGTGGGCCCCTCCCACCCCTCCCACTGCCCGGGTGCAGGAGAAGTCAGTTAGGAATCTGTGCGCCTTTCACGGCCGCGACGGGTGGTTCGGCCATCTCTGGATGGGGCGGACTCCAGGAAGGGAGAGCGCAGCAGCTTTAATCACTGGCTAGGCCTGTCCGCCTAACTGCCCCGCCCACGTGGTCAGCGCACACACGTCCTGAGTCCTCAGAAGTGCCATTTGCTGCCAATTATCCAGTGGGAAGTCTGGGGCCTGGAGCACTCTTCCCTAATTGCTAAGCTGGCACCAGACTGTGAAATAAATATTGAGGCTGTCAGACCCAGCCAATTGTGTAATCAGCAGCCATGCCCGGGACTCCCTTCTGCATGGGACTGTATGTGCCTCCAGGAATGTGTCTGTGGATTCGTCTCTATTCTCTGGCGCCTGGTACAGTGCCTGGAACCCTGTAGGTCCTCTGCAGAGACATGCCGAAGGCTCATGCATGGGACCAGGGTTCTCTGCTTCCGTCCCGCCAGCTGTTACTGAGTGGCTGCTTGGTGCTGGCATGTTCAGGTGACAGCTGGTGAAATAGTGCGGTTCAGTCAAATCGGGGCTTATGAGGTTACGAGTTCACGGTGGCCTGGCACCATGAGAAAGAAGCGACGAGGCCCAGCTCTCTCTGGGAATTCACCAACATGGCGGCCCAGAACCTGCGTTTTGTCGTCAAGGATGCTAAAAGCCAGTTCTGAGGGGACCATGAGGGCTACTGAATCAACTTAAAGGTCCCCGGCTGCAGGACACAGGCGCTTACTGTACCGGGAGTCCAGGGGACCAAGCAGTGGAATGAGGCGTGTCCTGAGGACGCCTCCCAGCCAGGTGGCTGGAAGTGGCTGGAGAATCTCCAGGCTGCCCCTGGCTTTCATGGCCGACAGGAGGGTTCCAGCTGCCCCATGGAGGGGTGACTCACAGAGAGGGTGACTGCAGAGAGGATCTTGCGAATGATGGTCTCCCACTGCCCCGAGACGTGTGGGACTGTGGGGGTGGAGGGACAGTTCTCTGAGTGGTGGCTCAGTCTTAGGGCTACCTGCTGTACAGGGCCCATGGCTGTGGAGGCAGGCAGGTGTGTGTGGGAGGCCAGGCAGCAGAGAGGAGCCTCATCCTTCTCTGGTGAGTCTAGAGTGCCAGTCTCCCTGGGGTGCTCTAGGGTGATCTCTGCCCAGAGCCACTGTCAGGACCTGGACATTTGGCAGGTGTGTTGGGGGTGCAGAGTGCTGGAAAGGTGGAGGGGGTGGCAGAGGAACACAAAGGGGACCCAAGATTGGCAGGCTCCCTTCCCTGTGATGGGGTGGACCCTCTAGAGAAATGACACAGGGTGGGGGGCTCTAGTTGAAGGGGCTTAACCTCGCCCCTCAGTCAGCATGGTGATTTAACTCCCGTGAGCCTCTGCGGTCCATGGGACAAAACCTGGCCACGTGCCTCATAGCTTGGTCAGTGCCAAATGCAGGACTTTGGAGCTGGCTTGGGTGGGGTGGAGGGAGCCAAGGATTGTAGTGATATGCCAGCGGGTCAGTGCCCCACCCTGGCTTCCCGTTTGTTCTCCCTGGCCTTTGGTAAAGCCTCGCCTGTGAGCTTGGGGCCCTGTGTGCCGGCCACAGGCTGAGGGAGGCTCCTAGGTCCTCTCGGGCCAGCACATTAGAGCAATGGCCGCGGACCAGCCCGCTCAGAGCCTGTTCACCACCCTGCCAGAACCTTCCGCGGCCCGGGGCTTTGACATCCCAGACTTTACCTAATCAAGAAAACTCATTTCCTGATGGACCTGACAGTGACAGCTGCTGGGGGCCCAGCGGAAGAAAATGGCGGTGTTGTCAGGACAAACCCCGCGAGGGAGAAAGAACTGGCAACACCGTTGGGGCTAAGAGCTCAACTCCCCAACAGGGACCTGCGTGGCCTGATAATGGGCCGACACGGAGCCAGGATCGGCTGCTCGGCCAGGGTCCTACAACCGCAAATGATGAAAGAGGGCGTCTTCCCAGCAGGAAAAGGCTTCATGACCTCCTCAGGGATGCAGAAGCCACAGAAGCCGGGTTTATCTTCTGCCTGGAGATAAACCCGGGTGTGAAGCCACAGCGTCGTCCTCCTCCTCGTCCCCTCCAGTCCGCGGGCGCAGGGAACCCGGCATATGGGCTGGTGGAGGGGCTCCGGAGCCTACCTGACCTACTGCCCTTTCCAAATTGACTCTAATGAGGTTCTCTCTGTTCCCCATTTCTTGGAGCTGAAGCAATTTCCTTCTGGAATCCTCCTGAAGCTTCTCTTCAACCTGCAATGACGATGAAAGTATGCTCTTGCTGCTAATGTGGTCCTAATGCACTCTGGGGAAATTCTTCCAGGAGGTCTAATGGTCGGGGCGGCCTGGAGGGGTGGGGTCCCTGCAGCCCACGGGGCGAGGGTCACGACTGAGCAGGGGTAGGGTGGAGGCAGCCCCCCAAGAGCCAGCCCCTAGGGGAGAGGGCAGAGCCCCACACTCTGGGGTCAAGCCTGTCCTATCCCATGCTCCCGTCCCGGCTCCAGCCCCTAAAAGGCTCTGGGACTCGGGGAAAGCCGTGCATGGACTGGGACTCAAGTCCTCCTGTCCAAAGGGCTCAAGAAGTGTGTTAGGTATATTGTCCATTAAAAAGTGGACAGGAACATCCACCTACAAGGTCCTTCTAACAGCACCAGGAACTGGCTCCTGATGGGTAAATGTTCCTTTTTGGTTTATTATCGTAACTGTTTGTTTTAGCACACTCACTAGAGGACACTGCTCTGGGAGGTTTGCTAAGTTAGACAATGTCTATTAGGAATTGCAGTCTGTAAAAGCAGGCGTTGTAAGTGGGAAAAAGAGCCCGTGATTCCTTTTGGCTTGGGTGCTAGTGGGGAGCCGGCGCGCGTTCAATGCTGCCCTCTGCTGGTCATTGTAGGAAGACTCGTTTCCCACAGAGTTCGGGAGAGCCCGCAGGCTGAACCCCGCCAGGGCTCAGGTGCTCCGAGGAAAGGAGGCAAATGCTGCTAAATAACCCCAAGCCTCGGATCCAGTTCCGTGGCTGCCCTGCCCGCTCTCTCAGGCCTGTAGACCCTTCCTGCAGACCTTGTGCAGGACCCCAGCCAGGCAATGAACATCTCTGATCTGTGATAAATGGCTGTTTATTCCTTCTGTTACATCCTTGTGGGGGCCGGTAGTGGGGCCGGGTAGGCAGGGGGTTACCAAGCCACAGAGTAGCTATGTCTGGCAGAATCTTCAGTGGCTTTCTGTATCTGCACTGGCATAGCAGGCAAGAGCCACATTTAGCTACTGAACAGTGGTATGGACGAGGAGTTAAATTTAAAAATTTAAAAGGTTTTGGTTAATTTCAATATACACAGTTGCATGAGACTCATGGCTGTGCCTAGTGGTGGGGCCTGAGACAAAGCTGGTCTCCCACCTTCCCTCCACTTCTTGGCTATGTGGTTTTTGGTAGCCACTTTATTAGTGGCTAGTAGCCTGAGTCTCTTATCTGTCAACCAGATAATAGAGCTGGGGTGAGCATGAAAGGAGATGCAATGTACATGAGACCTTGTACATAATATCATTTTGCCCCCATTACGAATTGAGGATGTAATCACATCAGCCCCCAGTTCAAAAGCCTTCAGAAGCTCCTCACTACCTATGTAGCATTCAACCTGAATGCTGGAATTAATGCAAAACCCCAAGCCAAAGACTTAAGAAACCATATGGACTCCAAACAAGGTAGATAAAAATGAAATCATACCTACATTAGGCAAAATGAAAGTGCCGAAAATCAAGGTAAAAGAAAATGTTAAAAGTAGTCAGAAAAGGCTCAGACACGGTACAAAAGTTATACTTACAGATGACTTTTAATTAGAAACTAGACTCAAAAGACAAAAGAAATAACTACCCAATGGCATCGATATTGTGCTGGAAGAAAATCACCACCATGTAGAATTCAATACTTAGGCAAATTGTGTTTAAAAAGTGAAAATCTGAAAATGTATGTTTACCCCTACAGTCTTTAGGGTAAAATTAAGGAACTCAGTTAATATTGAATTTTGTTAAGTCAAGGTGAATGCTTTGCCTGAAACATTTTCAAGCTAATATAGAGGAAAAAAGGAATGACTGAAAACAATTCTAAAGAAGTCAAGGAAAGAGAGAAAAAGGAATACAGCACAGATGCCATACATTGTGCTGAGGGAGAAAGTAAATGTAAACCCCAACACACCAGCGATTACATTATATGTAAATGGGCTAAAAAGTAAAGATCATCAAACTGGATTTTATAACAATGTATGCTACTTAGAAGAGCTAAATCTAAAGCTTAAAACAAAATTTGATAGAAAAATATGGAAAAATTATGCTATGAAAAGTCTAACCAATAAAAATCCGGGGTAGTTGATGGAGCTCTATTAATGACAAGATACGCTAGTTAAAAGATATTCTAGAGATGAAGAGGATCATTTTATATTGGCCAAAGAATTTTTTTCCAACAGAAAATATAAATTTTTAAAATTTATATGCACCTAGAAACACAGCCTCAAATTACACAGAGCAAAAACTGGCAATACTAAATGACACAGTCTGCAATACAGGTGAGATTTTAAAAACACATCTCTTTCAACAAATGATAGAATATACAGACCAAAAAAATTAATGAGAACATTTAAATTTGAACAACATCCTTGGAAAAACTGATGTAATGGATCAATTCTTTTCTGGATACATTTACAAAGATGATCGAAGGCAGTCTGGTCTAGTGGTCACACACGGGAACTTTGGAGTCAGGAAGCCCTAGATTCAAATTCTGACTCAACTCCTTTTTCTGAGTAAACTTTAGTTAACTCCCTTTGCTTTTGTGTGGCTGATTTTTCAACTGTAAATGTGGGTTAATACCAGTACTGACCACGTGGAGTCACTGTGAGGATTAAGAGGGGGCCAGAGTGGTCACTGGGCCAACACCATCCTTGCTGTCTGTACCTTGCTCTTTTCTCGAAGTGTCTTAGAGATCATATTCTGTTCGGTCGAACTCTTCTTCAGCTCATCCTTGAGCTTTTTCATTTCTTTCTCCATGTCGTGGATTTGCTGAAAGAGTTTCAACAACAGGGAAGTCAACCTTCCTGGAAAGATCTCAATCTGCATAACTCATTTCAGCTGGGTCACTGAGCTGGCCACTTCGTCTAGTGTTAGCTTAATTTCTTCCCTGAGGGGAAATTCTACATCTGTAGGGCCAAGTAGATTTCTTTTCAATATAGATATATTAAAAGTGCTGAGTAAAAGAATGTGATTAGTTCCTTTTGAAAATCAGCATGATCTTGGATGAAACAGTACAAGACATCGGTCAATTCATTAGAATCTCTTCTCTTGGGATGCACTTTGGGATCAATGTAAATAAGGGCTATTTAGAAGACACAATGGACATCATCTGGGAGAACAGGCCCATGAAAATCTTCTCTTTCCCCATTTGAGGCAGAGAACAGAAATATCTCCAGTGTGGAGAAAAGCCTGTCTCTACCTCTCATCTAGAGTGTTGTGCTTCTCAACGGGTAGAAAATTAAAATTGCTTGTGAGCAAAGGTTCCGCTGACTTGGGATATGGGTATTTTCATTTTGATGGTCAAATTATCATGGTATTTATTTTTGTAGTCATCTACTAGATGAGGCAAAGGATACGGTTTTAAAAAAGATTTTTTATTTATGCATACAGAACTGGGGTACAGGCCAGAGGTGCAGGGGCAGTGAGAGGATTCACCAGAGACAGAGTGGGGAGCAGAACAGGCTGACTGATGAAGTACACTGCTGAGGGGAGCAGCAGGTGGGCCAGGAGAGGTCTGCTGCATATGGTCACCTCCGGGGCAGGGATCGATCTCATGCTGGAGTGGCTTTAACTTTTTAGTGCTGGGCTTTAACCTGCTGCACCACCAGGGAGGGCCCAGGATACCTTTTTTTTTTTTTTAATTTTATTTTTAAGGCTTGGGATAAGATGAATGTACTTAATTTAAAACATGGAAGGAAGAATTTAAACAGCAAACACTCATTTATGACGACACTGAAAAACAGACATGAGAAAGGCAAGGACTGACAAATCCTGGCTGTGTTCAGGGGATTCCTCCTAAATTAAGATCAACAGGTGGTCCTGATAAGATGCTGCTGAAAATGGGTTTCAACACAGGAACTAAATTTATGCAGTTCTAGAAGTGAATGGACTCCACACCTGCAGTCCGAAGCCTCCAAATTCTGGTGAGAGCCAACGTGATGGGTCAGAAGTGGCCTCACCGTCCCTGCAGGTGGGAGTCCAGGGGCTCTGGGCCAGGCCCCACCCTCACTGCCTCACCAGCCTTGCCGAGAGGGCCATTACTGTTCCCTGCTTATGTTATTGCAAAATGGAATCCTCCAATCCATTCACATTGTGGCTCTAAGCATCTGGCTTGAGTCAGAAGTGAAACCTGCTTTGCGGAAGTATCTAGACCTCTAAGCCTGATACAATATGGTGGGGCACAAAGGTCTGGCCATCACAGGTCCAGGGGAGAGGCCCAGAATGAACTGCTAGCAGCGTGTGGAGCCAGGGGACCAGACCCTTCCCTCCCCCTCCCGAGTCCAGCCCCAGGGGAAGCCCGGTGAGGACGTTGGAGCCAAGTGTCCAGAAAGTCTCGGGAGCCTGTTTCCCATGCACTTTTCACTCTTCTCTTTGAGGCCAGGGACAGCAGATCAAAGAATCCTGAGACTTCATTAGTGAAGAAATGACCACCAAACACCAGCGCTGTGTCATCCAGGGGCCGAGGCCCCCAGCATGCCCCAAAGGCCTACCAACGAGGGGGTTCAACTTACAGTTTTATAGAGTTTTAACTCTTTCTGCTGGCTTTCCCGGTGCTCTTTCTGACTTTCTTCTCTTTTTAACTCTTCCTTCAGCACCGAGCACTGTGGAGAAAAAGAACAGCCGAGAAGAGGCTGATGTCGGCCTGGCTTACATCAAAGCAGCTTGAACCCTGACCTGTGTAACCCCAAAGCTTGTGCTCAGACTTTTACCGGCCTGAGCCCCAGGCTGCACTTCTCCAGCCTTAGTTTTGGAACTGGGGCTCTCTCCCTGCCCACCAGGGAACCATCCCCCAGATTGCCAGTTGAGATGAAAGCTAGTCATTTCTACCTTGACTCATCAAATCGCACCATCACACAAATGCTGAGACAGCTCTGGGAGTGTACTCCTGGGAGTCTAAAGTCTGCTTGGAATGCAGTGTTTGCAGAAAGTCAAAACAACATTTAGAAAGCTCCACAGTAGCTTATGAAAGCTCCTCCCCCTAGGAGGGGAATTCCGTGCACACTGAAAAGGGAGAGAGGAGGGGACCCCGGGTCTGCACCCGGACCTCCAGACACCTGCTTTGAAGGCGACTCTGAAAACCACTGGCATCCAGGAGGGCCATCAGGCCAGGTGGTCCTCACCCCCAGCTCCCCTGGGCAGTTTCTGCGGACCCTTCCAAAGGTGATTGTCCTGTGCCTATGGTTGTTGGGGGCAAACAAACGATCCATAAATGGTATTAGAGATCTAATCTGCTCTGTTTGAAATACAGCTGCTCCTTTTGGGCCACCTACAAGCTACACTGAAAATGCTGCAAAACCCTCGGTGGCACCTTCGCTTTCTGTCTTCCCAGGCGGCCCCGCCTTGCGTTGCCCACTCAGCAAACAGTCCCTGGGTCCCTGGGGTGCCCGCCCCATTGTACCACCTGAGAGGAGGGGTAGCTTTGGAATGGGGGGTGGGGGTGGGAAGGAATGAGTGTGTCATTCGAATCCACTTTATTTGCTCCCCATACCTCCCCTCCCCCAGCCCCCAAGCTACACACAGCAGTGAGGAGGTGCCACTCACTCTGGAGCTAAGGGCGTCCAGCTGGTGATTCTTCTCTTTGTTCTCATTTTTTAGCTGATTCACCTCCTGCTTTAGCTGTTGGACTTGCTCATCCTTAGCTAACAAGTCTTTTTGCAAAGAAGACACTAGCCCTGTGAGGGAGAAAGAAATTCACAGCAGTCAAAGAGGCGGGAGGGGGTCCTGGCGTCCTCACCATGGCAGCCTGCTTGTGGGGTGCCTCTCCAAGCCTGGGCCACCTCTGCAATCGCCTGGAACAGAAGAGGTTTTTCTCCAAGCTTCTTGGAGCTAGCAGGGCTCAGCTCCTGGCTGAGAAGGCCCGGGGCGTTCTCCAGGGGCCGTGAGTTGGGCGGGCTCATGGCGGAGCCGCCATATTGGAGACGATGATGGTGATGGATTCACACTCGGCTCAGACTGGAACCGTCTCTACCACTTGCTAGCTTGGGGTCTTACGGTCTACCTAGCACTCTATCTGCCCCCCAGAGTGCTCATGAGGGCTAGATTGTTATGCCCAGATTTTGAGTTTCCCAAAGACACGAAGGAGCTGATTCCACTGTAAAGCACACGAAGGTCTTTATTGCAAGCCGGAGCCTGGGCTCACAGCACCCACCTGTATGCTGCCCTCTATGAAGTATTCAGTAGCTGCTGACCCTCGCTGTTAATGGCGCCTATTTTTCTTTGTGGAACCAGTTACAAAATGGCGCCACGATCCCGGACTCCTGGGATCCCCACCCTGACACTGACTCTCCCACCTTGAATAGTGTGACCAATGTGGCTCCCTGGAATGTGGCTTCCCAGGCTGGGTCTGGGAGGACTGCTGTGGCCTCGTTGCTCTCTCCTGGATGGCTCATTCTGGGCCCTGGGGTCCACTGAATTGTGAGGACAGCCCAGGAGAGGTGCAGTGGTGGGAGCAAGCCCCCCAGCCCGCAGCCACGCCAGCCTGGAGGGGCAGGGGTCTCAGCCATAGATGGCGGGATTGCTGCTCTGGACTTGGGGCAGCCACAGAAGAACACAAGCCAGAACTAAGTCCCCCCAAATTCTGAACCACAGAAACAGGTGAGATACTCAATATTGGCTTGGTTTTGCGCACTAAATTATCAGATACTTGTCATGTAGCAGTAGATGATAATCGCATTGTTGTATTCTGTGGAGGCTGCGTGGGAAGGGGTGTTGGGTTATCGCACGTGGTTCTTTATCTTGGGAGAACACCAGGCCTGGTTGTATTGGCAGCAACCAAGATTTGTGAATCAAGAACACTATGGAGGTGTCCCTGGGGACGCAAGGGGTTAAGTCCCAGCACTATGAGGCTACAGCATGGGTTCCACCCCTGCCAGGGAGTGACCCACAGGGCACAGCAGACCTCTCCTGTCTCCCCGCTGCTCCCCTCAGCAGTGTGCTTCATCAATCTGCCTGTTCTGCTCCCCACTCTGTCTCTGCTGAATCCTCTCCCCCCCCACACTTCTGGCTTACACCGCAGTTCTTGTATACATCATAAAACAAATCTTTAAAAATAAATAAAGAACACTATGGTCAAGAATTTCACTTTAAAAGTCAACTCCCAGGACACATTTCTGGAGACAGGTGGACCCCTTCGTGGCTTGTCTGTCGCCTGGGCAGGTGGGGCCCGAGCGGCGTCCCTGTGACCGTGGCCTTGGTGTGGAGGCCACGCCTGTCCGAGCCCTGTGTGTGATGAGGGCTCTCCAATCTGGATTTGGGGAAAGGGAGTGAGACTCTGGATTGTTCTCTCTGCTTCTGTTGGGTGGATTTTCCTGCCCACAGACCTGAGTGGAACTGTACTCAGCTGAAGACTTGGGGGTGCCCCCCCATATCACTGGGGCTCGCTCTCTGGGCAGCGGCTCCTTTCTAGCTCTTGGTCCAGCAAACCCCCACTGTGCTGGCCTCTCTATCCCCACCCCCTGGACTCCATGGTTTGCTGGAATCAGCTGGCCCTGACCCCAGCTGCGTTCTGTCCCTCTCTGAAGTCAGCGGCTGAACGAACGGTCCTCGAGGCTCGTTCTCCCCTCGAGAACGGGTGTGTTGTGTGCTGCTTCAGGCCCGTGTGTGACCACCACGGTCTTGGGTCATTGTCCTGCTGTCTCAGGCCGGGGGTACCTACAGCCCGTTGCTCCATCCCGGGCTCTGCCTTGCTCACCAAGGAAGCTGGGGGTGTGATGGCCTTTGTCAGTGGGGCTTTGGGCAAGGCCCCGAGGACCCACCACGGACCCAGTGGACCCACCACGGACCCAGTGGAAGCAAGAAGTGAGGCGCTGATCCGCAGCATGCAGGTCCCGGTAGAGGAGGTCTGGAAGACGGCCTGAGACCTCATTTCTCCCACAGACCTGGGGCATGTTGACGCTGCTGGCCGAGGACCACCTTGGAGCGGGTCCTTCCAGCCCTGAGGGCAGCGGCACCGAGCTGGGCTTGGAGCTCTAGGGAGGGCGGGACCAGCGGGCACTGGGGTGTCCCAGCACCCACGCAGCGCCTGGCCCAGTGCGGGTGCTCAGCAGCCCGTAGGACCTTCCAGCAGGGGCAGGGGCTGAGCCCCGGTGGGGGGCGAGGGAGGGGCGGCGGTGGGCAGAGCGGAGGCCGCACCCGGCCGCCTGGGGCCCGGCACAGGGGTCCACAGAGACTGTGAGTCACGCTCAGCGGGCGCGGGGCGCGGGGCGCGGGTTCCCAGCACAGGCCCAGGGGCTTTCGGAGCAGCGCGCCCCTCCGAGCGGCCGGCGACAGCCTCCCCTCAGAGGGCTTTTCCTGCT